AAGTCCCATCGTCTACCTTAGACGCACCAAGGACTGGAGCTCCCCCGCCCCAATTTAAATCCATCCATAGACACATCGGAGCCCCCAAGGCAGCAGAAAATCCTATAATACATAAATACACGCAAATATTGTGGCTTGAAACGCGTGAGCCCACCCACGATTCATTCATTCTACACAACTGCATCAAATATTTCAATCTGCAGAATTTTCCAAGCAGACATCTAGAAGACCAAGCGCGCGCACACGCGCGTAAAATACTGTTAGCACGCTTAAGGTGGGTGGGAAGCGAAGAGGCGCAGTGCTGTGCTACTCCTGGAAATAAAATGCTTTTTCAGCTCCGTCCGTGTTGCAACCCAGCCACCCACCCACCCAGACAGCCACCCATTGCGAAGGAGAACCGATGGGGCCGGGAAGGGCGCGTTCCTCTTTTTTGCAGGTGGATTTCTCCCCTTCAGAACCGCTTCCTCCCTTCCTTTTAAAACCCCGCATTAAAGAGCCAAGCGCGTCTGCTTTGAGCGCACAGGTGGAAGGAAAGTTTCCTAGAAGCCGAAGGCAGAAAGGAAAGGAGGAAAAGGGCGAGGAGGCGCACAATGAATTTCCACTCCCCTCCGCCTGCATGCGCGCGTGGGTGTACAGATGTCTGGAGATGCGCACTGTACTTACCCCTTTGTTACCATGAGCATAGCGCAGCTTCTTCGCCTCTTTGCAGCCTCACCGCTCCTGGTGCAGCAAAATGGGATTACAGCCTAACCTTTCATCTGGAAGCGATTCCTTTAGGGCTCCTCTGAAAAGTTCACAGCGGGGCGAAAAGCGTCCCTAGTCGGGGCAACCTTATTCCCAAAAGGCAAAAGGGCGCACCACCGCCAACGCCTTTCAAAATGTTGCATTTTTTTTTAGGAAGGCTGCAACCAGGGGGGGAAAAAGCCACATGGCAAATTTATTTAGGGAGCTGGACAGAAGCACCTGATTGCACCTGTTTTGTTATTATTAATAGAGTACCTAACATTTGCTCTGCACTGCAGAGAGGCTAAAAGACAATGCAGCCATTGTCCGCAACCTCACTAAAGGAATCGGGGATGGGGAGGGAAGAGGAAAGCAAGGAAGACTTCAGGTGTTGATTCTTTAAGTTGCAAAAACTCAGCACTATTGTTGGAGAAAGTGAAAAGGAGTTCCTAGACAGAAGGTATCTCTCACAGAAACCCCAAAGAAAAGAATGCAAGCTCCAAGTGAAAAAAATAGGCCTTTATCGAAATACAAATGCACATAAGGGCAGCCTCAAAAGTTAGCAGACGACTGTGGTGAACAATACAGTATCTGAACAATATCCAGTGCAATGCTTCGTATACATTCCCAGATTACACATGTGATTTCCACTGATCACTCAAAGCATCGCAGCAATCTTAGTTGTTGCAACCCAAACTAAACCAATCAAAATCACTTAGCTTAGCCCTGGTAGTATCATGTGATTACATATACGGTACTTATTTTTCAGTATCTTCCTTTATTAAGGCTTTGACTAATCTACCTATTCATTTAATGTCTCTCAACACCCTCTTTCCTCCGTCTACAAAACAATTCAAGATTAAGCAAAATTGCCACGCTTAGCCAATTCTCTTTTCATGTATACAGTGGTCACCGTGGACTCTTGACAGTTCATTCTCTTGCTATATACAATACCTAAAACTCGTTTTGTACCATAAAAGGTAAGCCAGCACAGGCCTTTTCACCTAGGCCGTAGGCTCAGAGGAAAATGGAATCATCGAAATGATGCAGTTATTATGAAATTGCTATTTTTGCCATCAGTATCAACTCACCTGAGCCTCTTGCTAAGTACACAGTGCACACAAACCTGTAGCCCTTAGTCTTCTGGCTGATGGGATGCGAACCTACTGCTCCTTTTCTGGCCAACGGATGGGGCTGGAATCCTGGAACTATCAAGGATAAGCCATCTCACCTGCCTTGCCTCACCTCCCTGCCTGGGGCTTTATAGGGGACCCCTGACCATTAGGTCCAGTCGTGGCCGACTCTGGGGTTGCGGCGCTCATCTCGCTTTATCGGCCAAGGGAGCCGGCATACAGCTTCCGGGTCATGTGGCCAGCATGACTAAGCCGCTTCTGGCGAACCAGAGCAGCGCACGGAAATGCCGTTTACCTTCCCGCCGGAGTGGTACCTATTTATCTACTTGCACTTTGACGTGCTTTCGAACTGCTAGGTTGGCAGGAGCAGGGACCGAGCAACGGGAGCTCACCCCGTCGCGGGGATTCGAACCACTGACCTTCTGATCAGCAAGTCCTAGGCCCTGTGGTTTAACCCACAGCACCACCCGCGTCCCTTGCCTGGGGCCTTATTAGGTGCTTAATTATTATTGGGTTTCTCTCTTTCTTAAAAAAAAGGCCAATGTTTGTTGATTTGTTATTATTTATTAAACTTCTATACCATCCCTTCATCCAAGGATCACGGGGTGGTTTTACATTGTAAACACAAAAATACATACCATAGTAACAAGCAAAAAACATTAATATCCCCACACAGTATTGGTATTATTTTAATTATGTTTATTATCATAAACAGACATACAAACACATAACAATACAGACAATAAGGGAACTATACGGGGAACACATTCAGTATGTGTATATATAAATAAACAAATTACAGAGATGCAGATGCATATACAGTGGTACCTCGGGTTACATACGCTTCAGGTTACAGACTCCGCTAACCCAGAAATAGTATCTTGGGTTAAGAACTTTGCTTCAGGATGAGAACAGAAATCGTGCGGTGGCAGCGGGAGGCCCCATTAGCTAAAGTGGTGCTTCAGGTTAAGAACAGTTTCAGGTTAAGAACGGACCTCCGGAACGAATTAAGTACGTAACCAGAGGTACCACTGTAAAAGTTTGTAAATATCAGTTGTTCTTTGTAACACACGTTTTTCATTCCAAGTTGCGAGCTGCCTTGGATTCTACACTGGGAGAAAGGAAGGGTATAAAAGACCATATTTTTTGCTCTATAAGACTCACTTTTTCCCTCCTAAAAAGTAAGGGGAAATGTGTGTGCCTCTTATGGAGCGAATGCAGGTTGTGCAGCTATCACAGAAGCCAGAACAGCAAGAGGGATTGCTGCTTTCACTGCGCAGTGATCCCTCTTGTTGTTCTGGCTTCTGAGATTCAGAATATTTTTTTCCTTGTTTTCCTCCTCCAAGAACTAGGTGCGTCTTGTGGTCCGGTGCGTCTTATAGAGCGAAAAATATGGTAACTAAATAAATTCACAAAGGTGAAGGTAAAACCAGTGCAGTGAGAATTGATTATTTCACTTCTATACCTCTTAGAGTATTAAAAGTATCTGAAGCAAGAACAGGCAATCAAAATGTCACAGAAACACAGTTACATATAAAAATGTTACATTAGTACAAATTACCAATATATAAAAAAATTAATAGCAATGCCCTGCAGTGATGGAATGCTGACTGTTGGGAGAAGGCGAGACGAAATAATAATAATAATAATTTATTATTTGTACCCCGCCCATCTGGCTGGGTTTCCCCAGCCACTCTGGGCGGCTTCCATAGAAACCAAAGATACAGTAAAATATCACAGATTAAAAACTTCCCTGAAATGGAGAATATGCAGCAATTGTGTGTTTTATGCTCTGCCCATGATATCATTTTGCACCCACTCCCATGTCTGCAACATACTGTTGTGTGGGCATGCAGAGCAGCTGTTAATCTTTTCAGTTTTTTCTCTAGATTCCCTGGTCACAAATGATGTCCTGGCCTAGGCACTGGCTTCCTCTGGCAAGGTTTCCCTGACCTCTGCTTTGTGTTTTCATGCAGTTATGGCTGTTCTAGGGCAAGAGTGGCAGTCTGTGTGAATTAAAGGGTACATGGTTAGGCTCCAAATGCAACCCCACATTCTGAGCTCATTTCCAAAGGATGCTTGTTGAGTTGAAGCTTTAATAGTGCAATCCTGAACAAGTCCTGCTGAATTCAGTATCTTAAGCATTTCAAGTATTTCCATCTACATGTAAGATGGAAGGTTTTCTCTCTCCTCAGGGCTCTTTAGAGGTCTCCATAGGTCACAGCAGCAGGGAACAAAATTCTCTTATTTTATTACTAAATAAGGGGGGGGGAGGAGAGGAAAGGCATAATCAAAAAAGGAAAATATATATATGCATATTTTAATTTTATGTGTCGTGCAAACTTCGAAATAGTTACTGTAAATTAAATGCATCCGTTATCTTTCCCCTGACAAATCAGTATTTTAATATCCTTTCTGTAAACTGCTGTAAGAATTCTAAGGTCTCAAACATAGAATAAATATTTTTACATCAGTTCTGAGGGTGGGGATTTTTCCAGTATCAGGTCCGAGCTTTTCTTGGTAGTAATTTATAGATTCCTTATGCAAAATATTTTAAATATTCGGGACAGCTTCTATTATTATTAGCAGAAGTAGTAGCATTAAATGCATAATTATTTAGGCTGTTTGCAAAACCAAAACAAACAGCATTTTATATATACAAATCCCCGCTCCGCTAGTTTTCTATTTCACTAAGAATTATCTTTTTTAAAAAAGGAGTAATTTTTTTAAAAAAAACCAAACCCGTAAATAAAACTATACCCCCCCTTCCTCTGAAGTGGTACAGCCTAGCCAACCTCCACACCCCCCTCCTCCTCTCCACTCAGTGGACTCTACCACCTCCGTTCTAATCGCCTGTTAACGCGACGAGCAACCTTGCGGCTGCTGTCGTCACATGACTCCGAGTGAGTCAGCACAGCCTGGGCCACGTGATCAAGCGGGGGCGGGGGGTTGAGGGTGCGCGGTGGTGCGAGCCGGCGGCTGCGACGTGCGCAGGCGCAACGCGCGTGCGTGGGCCGGAGCGTTTGCAGGCGTAGCCTCGGCTTCCAACAACAACAACAACATTAGCTCACCGGGTCACGTGGGAGGCGGGGCGACGCCGGCGGTTGGGGCGTGCGCGGTGACGTAGGCGCGCACGCTCTCCTCGCGCCAGCTCCTCCTGCTCCTCGGCGGCGTCTGGTCTCCCCGTCAGTCTGAGGAGAAGTCGGCGGAAGGCGAGTCGCTCCAACCTCTGCTGTCGTCGTCGTCGTCGTCGTCTCCGTCTCCCTCCCTCAGGCGGCCATGGCGATGGATACGAGCGGCAAAGAGAAGGAGGCGCTGCAGCTGCTGGCCGAAGCGGACAAGAAAGTGCGCGGCTCCCAAGGCTTCTTCTCGGGGCTGTTCGGGTGAGGCCCTCGAGCAGGACGAGGCGGAGAGGGAGAGGCGGGCCCGGTGGGGGGGGGGAGGAGAGAAACTGCGGGGCGTTGGGTCATGTGGGAATGCGGGAAGTGCGCGCGCGCGCGGTTGGGGGGGGTGTCATTTCTGAAGGGTGTCCCGGAGGGGGAGGGATCGAGCGGCGGGGTCATAATAATACAGTGGTACCTCAGGTTACAGACGCTTCAGGTTACAGACTCCGCTAACCCAGAAATAGTACCTCGGGTTAAGAACTTTGCTTCAGGATGAGAACAGAAATAGCACGGCGGCAGCGGGAGGCCCCATTAGCTAAAGTGGTGCTTCAGGTTAAGAACAGTTTCAGGTTAAGAACAAACCTCCGGAACGAATTAACCTGAGGTACCACTGTAATTGTAATAATTAATAAGGGATGACATGTGTCCTCTTTTCCCGGAACATCTTCTTCTCAGGGGTAAAATTCTCTCCCGGTCGGATTTTAAAAAAAAACTGGCCCAAAATGTCTCAGGCTCTACTTTCTGGATATCATCATCAATCTTTATTACGGTCCAGAGACCCAACAAATCGTTACAAAGCAATACGCAATTCATACAGCCTGCCTCCAGGTTAAACAAGCATTTTGTTCAGAATATAGGGATCATTGGTTCTTGCAACCACCGATAGAAACTTTGCCACTGCTAATGTTCTAGCATTTGTCCGGTCTTCCAGTAGGAGCCTGACATGGTGAGCCTCTGATTTTCCCGGGAAAGGTACCAGCGAGGGTAATATCAGTTCAGCCCTGGCTTGCTCATATTTTGCACAGTGCAACAAAATATGTTTTATGGAGTTTCTGGATATAGACATAAGTGGTGGCTAAAGACTTGCTTTCCCCCATCTCTTCTCCCCCCCCCATTGCAGTTTCTATAGCCTACATATAGTAGGGGGGTATTTAAAGTGAGAGCTGTCAGAACGTCCTCCTCCTCCCCCCCTCTTCAAAATATGGCAGCCCTGTTTATCTGACTGGGTTGGTCCCAGCCGCTCTGGGCGGTTTCCCAGCAAAAAGTAGCGATAGCACAGTACAACATCGCACACTAAAAAACTTCGCTTGACAGGTTAATGGATTTCTGGTGGGGTTGATAAATCTCTGGTGTGTAGGTGCTTGTGTTTATGGGGATTGGCATTGTGGTAATAAAGTCTGGCGGCTGGTGCCCTTTGGGACTGGTAGGGCGGAAGGCCGGAGTACCAGCAGAAGGTGGAGCCAGAGCCAATGGCAGGCAGAACTGCCACCATGTACTGTAAGAAAGAAGGGAGCCGGGTGGGGGCTGATTCGGAGTAATGTTAAAAACTCAGATAAGCTAGGCACCAAATGGCTCCTTAAACTAGGGTTACCGTCACCAAAAGCAGAATGCCTAACTGCCATTTTTGGGCCAGATGGCTCAAAAGTCACGTTTTTCAATATGGCTTTTTGGTTCTTGATATTCATTTTGATTGTGCAGGTAAAATTCTACAGGGCGTGTTGCTACTGTTCGAAAGCAGTAAAGATCCAAACATCCCCAGGCATGCACCTCCAGATGGGCATCTTCACTTAGTTGCAAGTGGTCAATTTGCAAAGTGGGCGAACACCAGCTGGGCATGGTTGGTGGGGCAGTGTTTTGCTCTCCCTAAAACCAGCCACCTCTAATGAGACTCTGGGGCATTGGGTCATGTGGAAATGCAGGAAGTGCACACATCGTTGTGTGGGGATATATTGTGAGAGGTGTCGCTGTGGGAAAGTGGCAATGAAGTGTAAAGACAGTGGGAGGGAATGAGTGACAGGCTTGACAAATCATAGGACTGTAAAGTTGGGAGGGACACCAAGGGTCATCTAGCCCTTAGAAGACTTCTAAAGGCAGCGCTATATAAGGGAGTTTTTAACGTTTGATGTTTTAATTGCGTTTTTATATTTTGCTGGAAGCTGCCCCAAGTGGCTGGGGCAACCCAGTCAGATGGGCGGCATATAAATGATATTTTTGTTATTTCCCCAACTTGGGGCTCAAACCCACATGTTCTACTGACTGAGCTATCCTAGCTTTTTGGTGGGAGTGATGAATTGCCTGTGTGTGTGAGCAGGAGATAATATACTAGTGGCTGGTGTCCATTGAGATTGGTAGGGCAGAAGAAAGGAGAATCAACAGTAATTGCAGCCAGCGGCAGGCAGTGCCACCCCCTAACTAACTCAAAGTAAGAAGGCAGCCAGGTGGGAGCTGGTTTGCTTAGGTTGTCATTTGCCCAAAATGGACTAGCTCCCACTGGTAATGAGGGGGACTCTTGGTCGAAGGTGAGAAGGAAATAAGAGCTCCATGGTGGAGTCTCTATAAACAAATAGGAATCTGGGAGAGTGGCACTAAGTATGGATAATAGTGGGTTGGGAAAGTTTATATTGGAAGGTAGGTTAGGATGGATGTTAGCAGTGGGTCTAGCTGTGTGGCTGGTCTGGAAGCAGATCACTGCTGGAGTTCTGACTCAAGAAGGTAGACCTTAAACCACACAGATCTGTTGTTCCTCACAAGCCATTGTTCAGGGTTGTATATCCAGGGGAAGAGGTGAGCCAACATTCAGCAGAAAATTTGAGGAGTTCTGAAACTGTCTATAGCTTTATTTACAGAGAAATAACATTGGCTAAAGGAGACTAGAATGAGGTTGGAAGTAGCTGGAAATGTAGAAACTTAGCTGGTGGGAGGGGCATACTTAAAGAGAGGGATTGGGTGAGATAAACTGAATGGCTTCAAGTTGAAATGGTCAGGGAACGTTCTGGGAAGCAGATTAAATTGGGAGAAGGTGCTAGTAATGCATAGGGGAAGGGCTGCTGACATCTGTGTGAGTTGGAAGATCAGAAAGGTGGTGAAGAGAAGGGAGAAGAAAATAGGCTATTGTAGGACAGTCTGGTGACAGGAGATCCTGCTAATTGGAGTAATGTGTTGAGGATTGGTTGAGATGCATTGCAGGCAAGTGGACTAGGTCCAGTAGCTGTTTCAGGGCAATGTCATGGGAGCTTTAAGGGAGGATCTGTTGGGTGAAGTGGGGGCAATAGAAACTGGCTGAGTTGATGGGAGGCGATTTTCTAATATTATGGAGGGGTAACTTCGTTGCAGTGAGCTTAAGTGAATGCTGTTGAAACTGTGGGAATCCTCTGGAGTTTGTTCTTTGAGTGAAGGTTATTGTGGTGATGGAAGAGGCTGTAGGTCCAGCTTTATTTGGGAGCGGGTTGGGTGGGACAGACCAAATTCTAATAGTAGTAAAAAAGTGATGGTCTTGCGAGTTAAAGCGCTCTGAATTAAGGCTGTGACCAACTCCACTGACTGTATCTGTGGAATCCTGCTCAGTCATGTGGAATAGTTTTAAGATCCAGACCAGTGTATGCGTAGCAGGGTTCCTGTCAGTGCTGTACATGTGTTGCTTATGAATTTGAAACAGTTGTAAACTTTTATATTGCTTTTGAATTCTGGTGCTGGAGGAGACTCTTGAGAGTCCCATGGACTGCAAGAAGATCAAACCTATCCATTCTTAGGGAAATCAGCCCTGAGTGCTCACTGGAAGGACAGATCGTGAAGCTGAGGCTCCAAGACTTTGGCCACCTCATGAGAAGAGAAGACTCCCTGGAAAAGACCCTGATGTTGGGAAAGATGGAGGGTACAAGGAGAAGGGGACGACAGAGGACGAGATGGTTGGACAGTGTTCTCGAAGCTACAAACATGAGTTTGACCAAACTGTGGGAGGCAGTGGAAGACAGGAGTGCCTGGCGTGCTCTGGTCCATGGAGTCACGAAGAGTCGGACATAACTAAACAACTAAACAACAACAACAACAACAACAAACTTTTATATTTGAAGTCATTGATATTCTGTCCTTCCTCCCTTAGGAGATGAGTGCAGACCACAATAAGAACAATAAAATAGACAATGTAAAACAAAGCACCCATTAGAAAGCACCTGAATTAAGGCACCTCCATTCACCTGATTTTCATCATGTGTCTTTCTGCGTGGAAGACATTAATCCTGTATACTTCCCACTTTTAATTACATTAGGATGGTGGTTGTTTCCCCCCAATACTTTGGTAACTAGAGACCTGGCTGATGACAGAAGATGCTCGTATGCATAACCTGCATAGAAACCTAGAAGAAACTGCCTAAACCATAGTCTGACGTGTGATGCAATGTAGCCTAAATGCTGCTGCACCATAAAAATAAAAGTCCTGATACTTTCACTTTCTCTTCTTCCCCCGCTCCCCACTGCTGTGAGTTTGAATATGGAATAACAGGCCCAAGTCTTTCTTATTTCTCCTAATTTCCGCCTTCACAGCTTCTTTTGCTGAGCCCAGGTGAGATAACTGGGATTTGGGATAACACTGCTGGTGGGAGCTGTTACCTTGGCAGGAGGCAGATGAGTTTATTGAAGCCCCTGAGCTCCTGTGATTTGGCTTAGTTTCTGTTAACTGTTGTAGTTTTCCAGGCTGCAAGACAGAAGAGTGGTTAAGGTGCAAGTATATTTCTCAGAAGACAGCAAGCTGCTTTATGCTTAAGAGGAGGGGTTGTGCAAGACTAATGCAGTGTTGTGCAGGGATTAAGGCTCTGTACAGGTAATGAATAGTGACTGGCAAGTCTGTCAGAGCTTTTGTCATCCTGGGGAGCTTTGTTAGTTTCCCTGAGACTAATCGCCCTGATTCTATCTGTGCTTTTTCTGAATGTGTGCTAGTACTGCTAAGTAGCTGAGATTATATTCTTGCACACACCAGTGCTTATTTAACAAAATGGAGACTCTTCTGAATGAGCCTGCAATAAGAGCAGCCTACACCTACTTCGCTAGTAGCATTTTGGAGACAGTGCTGTTTGAAAGGGTAAAAGGCTTTAGGTGGTGGAAGCAAAAATGCTGTAAGGCATGGTTTACATAAAGATGGACCTTCTCTTCTCTCCCTAGGAAGAGGGAGGATATCATGAACAAGAAAAGAGCATGGCTGTCTGCCTAACTTGGAACACTGCAGTTGGCTGAAAATAGTTGTTGAGACTGGCATGAAGTAAAAAATAATTTTAAAACCTGGGACTTGGTTCCAGGCTGACTGGGGAGACTGAAGCGTGTGACGTGATGGATGTCTTCCACCACCCACAGACGAGTAGCATTGTCTGGGTTAGGCATACCCATTAGTCACACACCTACAATTTTAATAACAGTGTCAAGCCTTGAGAAAAAGGGGGAATGGGTGGTAAAGGGGGATCTTGGATAAGCTATACGTTGCAGCAGGCTACAAAATCTGCCCTTTTTTATATGTCCGTCACTATCTGCAGTCCCATATTTATAGGAGTGAAATGGTAGAAACTGCTAATAACCACCTCCTCCCTCCAGGCTTGAATGCTCCAAAAAGCTGAAGGACAGCAGAATTTCACAAGAGGGATTGGGTGTCCCTGGGCTGAATGAACCCTCAGGAGTGGTGAGGCCCATAAATGATAAGGCAGTAAGAGTCAAACAGGCTGGCTTCTGATGCACAGACCTACCTTGAGGAATCTTGTATTTGCCTAAAATAAAAACTTTGCTAAGCCTTTCAGTTCCAAATTTTGTGAAGTAAATCCTTGCTTTGTTTTATTTATTTAAAATACTGATATATTGCAATGAACTAAAACGTCATTAAAACAGCATTCCAATTAAGATTAAAAGGTCAGTAATATTTGGTAATACTTAAAAACATAGCAAAACCAGCATCGCTTTAAAACAGGCTGTATCATGTCCCTGGTAGAATATGCCTTCCCTCAGAGAAAAGGATCTGTTTTCTTTAACTGTCAAATTCAAGAGGACCCTTCTGCTTCCTTATTGCATAATATGTAGTTTGGGATGAATTAAATGATTATTTGAAGTGGAAAAGTACAGCAGCAAGAGATGCAGCTTTTTCTTAGAAATGGGAAGTTTACTTAAATGTCTGGGGTAGCGCCTTCTGTATTAGCGCCTTCTGTATCTAGCTGGCAAATAAGAGTGCATTTGGCTTTGATATGGATGTGTGTAATGGAAGGGTTAGTTGCCCTTCAGTTATTTGTGGTAACAATAATGGTGTTTGTGGGGAATGTTTTTGCTCCTTCCCTCTTGAAAATAATGCTTTGATGGAGGCTGACGTAGCTGGTGGCTGTTGCATTATAACCTGTGGGCTAAGAAGGAGGAGAACCGGTCTGCGCTTGCAGTTCTTCCGGCTGTGCTTCGGTTTTTTTCCTGCTGGCAATGTCTGTTATTGAAGCAGCCATCGCCACCGCTGCCTAGTCAGGGGCAGGGAAGGGAGGGCACATGACAGAGCTGGTGACTCAAGGCCAGCTTCCTCTTGCACATAATACACATCTGGGCATTGAGATGCAAGGAGCTGAAGTAGATAATGAATTCTCAGAGACTATGAAAAAAAGAGAGCCTTGGTGTATCAGGGACTGGTGATTTTCTGTGGCGTGGGAGGAAAACAGTCACTTCTAGGAAGGCTGGCAAGATGAAGTGGGAAGACAGAGGGGAGATGACAAAACAGGGTGCTAAAAATGAAAAGGCAATTTGTTTCTGCACCTGGAATTCTTCCTTTGCAAGCCACAAAGGTGCCAAGTTTATTGATGAATATTTAACATTCATAGGTAAAAAGTATTTGTGTGCTTGTGTTGGGGGATCAACACTCTCACTGTTATGGAATAGATTCTTAGGTCAGATTAGGGCTCATCGACTAGAAGTAAACTTCATTGAACTCAGAAGGGCTTTGCTTCTGAAAGAACATGCCTTGGTCAATCCTCAAGTGTCATAGATGCCATTTATATGTCTTTCAAGTTCTGGGAATTGCAGTTCTCATAAAGAAGAGAGTGAGATATTAGTCAGTGTCTTGACAAACCTTCAATTCCTGGGTTGAGGGCTATGATTGCTAAACTGCTTGAGGTTTGTGAAGTGTATGGAGCCCTGTTGTAATACGGATCTCGAGTTATGGGTGTGCTTTTCCCCAAGGCGGAGATTGAGGTCAAATATATGAGAATGTCTGTGTTGGCTTTTAAAGGATTTAAGAATACATACCTCATTAAACGCTTTTGAGCAGAGGAGATTTCAGCCAGGGTACTCTGTAGATTAAAGTGTTCACCGGTGATGCTTTTTAAAAATTTCTTTCAATACTATAGTGTTCTCTCTTTGTATATTTTGTGTGTGTGAAAGAGTGCACATTTAGGATGGATTTTTATAAACTGGGTTGCCAGTGATGATTGTCTCCCTCCAGTACCTGAAACACAAATCCCCTCCTTTAAATTCTTCCAAGAGTTAAAGAGGACTTGGAAGAACACAAGGGGTCATTTTCCTTTGTAGTGAAGTTTGTACTGAGCTTTGGAAAGGACAAACAGAAGTGTCTCATCTCACTTTATGCTGGGACGATCCTGTTTGGGTGATCCACAAGACTTTGGAGAGAGAGGAATGACATTGACTGCAAGTAATACCTGGCTAGAAATTGAGACCCCTCATCTAGGAAATTAAATTGCTAGGCACTTAATAAAACACTGTGCTGCACAAGACTGAGGAAATGAGCTTGGCACTAGGAATCCAAAATATTTTTATTTATGAAACTATAGAAGACCTCCTCGTATAAAATATCAAGGAGGTGTACAACAAAATAATGCAAGTTCAGTAATACATAAAAAACCATAAAAACAATACGGAATCATAAAAAATGGCAGTCATGTAGAAAAAGATAGGCTTCCTGTCATGAAAGCCTTCAAGAGTTACCTGAAAATTAGCTGCAAGGATGCCTGCTGAACCTCTGCTGGATGAGTATGTATTACACAGCGTGCAACCAGTGACATTAAATGCTCAACTTCACATTTGGAGCCAGATGGGCTTCTGAACCACAGGGGAGGGGACAACTAACACCGTTTTCCCAAATGATCTTGGTGTTAAAGCTGGAATATAAGGGCGCAGGTGGTCCTTAAGGTACTCTGGACCCAGGTTGTTCAGGGCTTTGTATGTTAATACAATAACCATGAACATGGGCAAGTAGCATACGTGCAGCTAGTACAGATGTTTTAGCAGAGGTATCACATGCCATCTGCCCCAGTTACGATTGTGATTAGACACCTGCCCTTCACTCTAAGGTCCCAGGGTTGTTAACAATTAAAAACACTTTAAAACAGCTTACAAGCACAAAAATCTAGCCACTGGAGCTTTTGGGTGAAGATCAGCCCCACATAGAGTGCATCATAGTAATCCAGTCTCATTGTTGCCAGTGTCTTAGTACATGTCAGCTTTCTGGTTTTTGAACCCAAGTTTTCCTGGGTGGGATCCTGTAGCTCTGGTGACGGCTGGACTTCTGGGAGCCACTCCTGGGAGAGATGTCCAGAGGACTGTACTGTTCCACTGTTTGTTGTGCAATGGCCAGATGCCTCCCAGACTAGGAATCTACCTCACAGTCCCAGTGAACTAAACCATAATTGACATCTTGCCTTTGCTTGGAGGCTGTAAGCAAAGCCTGCTTTTCCAGTCCCTATAGTGTGAAAATCACCTAGACCAGATTCTGTACATTGCTTTGTAGGTGTCTTGACGGTTTAACTGTTATGTGTGTTTGGAACATCTGTTAAGATGTGTATTACGTTGTTCTTCTGTGCTCTCTTTCCCTTTACTCTGGGCCTCTTCTCTTTTCATAGCAGAAGAAACCTTGGCCTGATGATGCTTCTCTTTCTAACCACAGGACTCATTTTGCCAAAGCTGAAACTTCTGGCAAGGTTTAGTTACTTGCCATCTGCAGTAAATTTTCAGAAGAACCAAATCCTTGGCATTCGGTGAAGACATGGAATATGTCTGTTCAATAGAAGAATGTGGTGTCGTGGTGGGCAGGGAATCTTGTTTTGAAGAACGTTGGGGGTTTGGGGCAAATCTGGCATTTTTACGTATGGAAATTTTTGTTTGCCTCTTACCTCTTTGTGGAATATACCTCACAGAGCATCTATTCCAAGGATCAGAAGAAAGTGCAGTGTAAATTGTAGGGCTCAAATGGGCTTTAAGAGTGTGAATTATGCATCTCTCAATATCTCCAGTTCCGTGTCCTTATATCCGTGGGTGCAGACCCAGTCTAAAGTTGTGTAGCATTCTTAATGTGGGTAAGGCATTCTCTCCCCCCCCCCCCCCCCCCCCGGAGAGCATGTTCCTTTCCAAGCAGATGGTTCTGTTTGCCAGTGCAGCAAGCTGATTCAGTGGTATCTTTTCTTTCCTCTCTAGGGGTGGCTCCTCCAGGGTCGAGGAAGCATGTGATATCTATGCAAGAGCGGCCAATATGTTTAAAATGGCCAAGAACTGGAGTGGTACGTAGCATTATCTCTCACCCTTTGCTTTTGTTGACCTTGCCTTGCCTTCCTCAGAACTGCATATCCCAACTGCTCATTTGCTTGTGAACTCTCTCTCTCTCTCATTGTAAGAGAAATGCATAGTCCCTGGGCTAAAAAGCAGGAAACATATGGTCTTCAAAATAATATGGACCTGTAATATAATATACCTATACAGTAGTACCTCGGGTTACAGATGCTTCAGGTTACAGACTCCGCTGACCTAGAAATAGTACCTCGGGTTAAGAACTTTGCTTCAGGCTGAGAACAGAAATCGTGCGGTGGCAGCATGGCGGCAGCAGGAGGCCCCATTAGCTAAAGTGGTACCTCAGGTTAAGAACAGTTTCAGGTTAAGAACGGACCTCCAGAACGAATTAAGTTCTTAACCCAAGGTACCACTGTAATACCCCCAGCAAATGTGGGGGAAGAGCCTGCTGTCTTGGCCCAGTTTCTTGTGAAACCCTAGACTAAGATTTATGGCATTCTCTCTTAGTAGAGAGGGTCATAGCTTAGTGGTAAAGGACATGCTTGGCATTTTAAGCATCCTAGGTTCTATCCTTGGCATCTCCAGGTAGGACTGGAAAAGACTTCTCTCTGAAGCAGTAGAGAAGCAGCAGCAGCCAGCCAGTCAGTCAGTATAGACCACTGGTCTTGAGCTGATGCTTTGGACTGCCTGTGTAAGGTAAGAGGCAAATTATCTCTGCCTCTTTTCTTGGTTTTGACACGAGACCATCACCGTTTGATAAGGTGGTGGTTGAATGGGTGCTGTAAGATTAAATTAGAGCTCTGCAGGTACGTGTCAAGTCCTCTTTGTTTTACCTGTATGGACATTTGGCAACACAAGGGTTGCAGGAGTAAGCCTTGACCCCTTCTGCCATCTCTCTCTTGCTTTTAACTTGAGGCCTCTTCCGCATCTTCACAGTTCTGGTTTTAGAATTTTGATGTTATGTGCATGGACAAATTCCAGGCCCTGCATACTCACAGGCCCTTTCTCTCTCCACCTAGCTGCAGGGAATGCTTTCTGCCAGGCTGCTCAGTTGCATCTCCAGCTGCAGAACAAGCATGATGCGGCCATGAGCTTTGTGGATGCTGGCAATGCCTTCAAGAAAGCTGATCCTCAAGGTAAGAAAAAAGTGGATTAGGCAAGTTATACAGCCTCAAAACTGTAGAGGGACTTGCTCCTTGGGTTGGACCTGGGATGGTAGTCTGTGAGACAAGGCCTATTCATGCCTCCCGAAATATTCTACACACTTGTGAATTTGATGCAGAAAGCACCTTGTTTGCGAAATGTGTTTAAATTGCAGAATTTGGGTCACTATCATGCAGAGTACACCAAGCCTTGGGTGGAACTGGGTGCATTGCAGTCTGTATCCATATACTTATTCATATTTATGTGCACATATCTCTGCTTGATGAGAAGGGAAGACAGCTGCTGCATTCAGATGTTGACATCTCAGTTTAATAAGATGAGATACACACAAGTCTCTTGCCCGCCCATGCAGCCCTCTTCTCCTTTGTAGAGAACCTCAGTGAAGGTTTGGAGTTGGTTTGTTCTGAATCTCATAACCATAGTTTACCAGTTCAAATGAAATGGGAAACTGCGGCCAATTAGAGCCACAACATTTCAAGGAAGGAGTTTAAAATTGCTTTTATTTGCACATGTCTCTTTTCATTAAGCCAAGCTACAATCATCTGAACACAGCCATTGTATTGGACTTCTGGACTTGTGGTGCTTAACTGCCAAATGCTAATATGTACATTCTCTCTAAAGCCGCAAGTCACGTAGGTTGCTGAAGGGCAAAAGCTAATGTGCCAGCTGGCTTCCTTGCCTTATAGACTGAGATGTCCTGCTTTAGCTTGAATCCTCAGTCGCCTGCAGCATTGCATAAGAGCTTCAAGTTGACAGGCTTCCCCCTGGCCAGGCTTGTGCAAGCCTCACAGATACTAAACATGCCGTATCGGTCCATGAGTACATTCTGCCTTAAATGTTCAGGGTCCACCTTTGCAGGAGATCTTTTGTCTCCCTTCACCTGCATATATGCACAACCCTGTTGGTATCAAGGTGCCTCTGAGCCTTGCATAGAGTGCCTGTTCCTCAAATTCACCCACCTGTGTGTTTGTCATTAGTATATGACTTCAAGGTAGAATCAAGTCCAGATGTCTTTTTTTAATCCTCCTTCGAAAGCAGCAGTTATGAGGAGGGGCGTTTTCATGTTCTTCTCGCTAATTTTTTCATTCTCTGCGCAGCAACTGGGTTGTATGGCGCCTTTGCTCCATTGTAGTCTTGAGGCCAAAGGCCTGTTTGGGAAGAGGATCCCACTTCTGGGATTTCATGTGCATGTCTGCTGGCGACACTTAGCAGAAAAGACAGACAAATGAGGAGGGGAGAGCCCTCTTCTGCAGCTGCCTAGACTCAGGCAGCAATTTCAGGATAAAAGATGATAAAGTAACCTGAGGAGAAAACAAATTTAATCCTCCCCAGGGATTTGCTTAATCTTTTGGAGATTTGCATTTTGATTATCGGCTGCAGTAGCAGAGCTAAAGAGCCACCCTCGTCCTTGTCATTGCGCCTGGCGGAGGCGGAGCAGCCTGGGCGCATGGGATGCCTGAGCTGATGCACCAGGACTGTGGGGTGGTTAATGTGATGAAAAGGGATCCCACCTTGGCGCCTACATCCTCTTGGATCTTCTGCTTTCCGTGATCAGTTGATTTCTCAGGGGAGAAGTGCCGAAAGGAGAGGCATTGCATGCGCTCCTGATATAACATGCAGTCTAGATGAGAGCTCTGTACACACAATGTAGTCCTCACCCACTCTTCCAAAATTTGCCAAATTAACTTGTGCAGATTTGCACCTCTTGGCTTCAACAGCCTGATTGTGCTTGCAAGGGCAGGTTTTGACCATTTAAATCCATCCCGAGGGATTGCCTGTCTGCGCACACTCTTGCTTGGACCTTCATGTCTTCTGAGGGCCTACTAGGGTGTCCCCACGCAATAAGGTGCGACAGTTGACTGAAAAATACTTTTTCAAGGTTGGCACCCTGACACACACTCCCCAGACACTCTTGGCAGCTACTTGGATGTCATTTTAACACTCAATAAATATTAACACTGAATAAACGCATTTCCTTTCCCCAGGACTCTTTGTTCCATTTCTAATGTAAATTATTTGCTTCTTTTTAATGCCCCTTTTATGCCTGATTGTGATTTTTTTTATTTGTTCTCATTCTCATTTGTCAGCCACCAAAGACTGGATTGCCCATTTATTTTATTTTGGAAACATTAAAATGGTGCTTTTATCCAGATCTGGCTGCTAGGGTGGTGTACATAAATGTCCAAAATACAAACACAAAGTTAAACCAAAGATAATAAAATGTGTTGAGGGGGCAGGAGGGAATTCTGTAGTAATCCTGTGCTCACCATTTAAATTTCCATCCAAATCCTTTTCTTCTTGTTTCTGAGCTTTCAAGAGTGGCTTGTTGCTATGCTTGAAACAACTGCCAGTTTAAAACAATGAAATTAGAAGCTGCCATTTAGCAAATGGTCGGAGTTCACAGTATCCAATTCTGTGTGTGACCAGGACACATATTAGTTTAAATATATTCAGTACTGAAGTTCTTCAGCTGACTACACAAGGGCAGCATAGCTGCGATAACTTTGATGTTTTGCTGTTGGTTTGTAATGTTTCTGGAAAAGCAGTAAACAATTTATTCTTTTTTGGGGGGTGGGGTGGGGGACAAGGTCAGCACTGGAATCCACCCTGTTAATCCTGGGACACTGGCTATGCATGTCTTTTGCAGAATGACCAGTTGTAGTATCTTCTGAGTAGAATGTGGTGACATTCTAATTGTATCCATTCCTACCCGAAGGGAGAATACAGACCAGAAGCCCAAGCAGTAATGATAAACACCCATCAATTCTCCAAATCAGCTTGCTACTGTCATTCAAGTCCCATAAGATCTATGGGCCTCAGCAGCTTTCCTTGAGTGGCTTTTGATCCCCAGGGTGGGAAGTGTGCTATAAATATACTCACAGCATTGTCCCTTTCATGGAGGATAACGGAGCAGCATTGCCAGATGGTTTTATTTCCTTAGATTGCTATGTTTAAAATTGCTACCTCTTTCTGTTTTTACAGAGGCCATTAACTGTCTCCTCAGATCCATTGAGATCTACACAGACATGGTAAGCCTGTTTTGATATATGTATTGTCCAATTCAAAAACAAGTTTGTTTTAAAAAATAGAGTGTTTTGTGTATGTATATTTGTATGTCTGATTTAAAGGGGAAATATTAAAACTGCGAAGAGGGGGGGCATGATGTCCAGCAAACTTTCCCCGTGTATGGGAATTGCCCTCCCATGGTGCAAGTAAACATTAGCATCTTGGATGGGGCTTTTGCAGTGCTCTGTTGCAGTGGCGTAGCGTGGGGGGTGCAGGGGGGGGCAGCCACACCGGGCGCAACATCTGGGGGTTAGGGTTAGGGGGCGCAAATGCACGGGTTAGGGGGCGCAAATTACTTGCCTTGCCCCGGGTGCTGACAACCCACGCTACGCCACTGCTCTGTTGAAAGGTGTCTTGAGCTCGCATCGGCTGGCTGAACCAGATGCTTGTGCTGTTTGTCAGGGGATTTGCAGCACGTCTTTTGTAGGATTGTTCTAAGAGGTGGAGGCACGTCCTTGAACTGATAAAATAACCTAGTATGGACAGTACTTAGAGTACAAAGCAGATTGCTCTGCCAAACAAAACCAAGAAATGCATTGAAGCCGGCAAGCGTCATCTCTAGCCCAGACATCCTTAAAAGAAGTTAATGAGTGTGTAAACCTTCACAAAGTCTGTGTGTATGACACCTGCCCATCCCTCACAATTGTACACTTGTGAGGTGGGGAGTGTGCTTTGATATACCCAGCGTGTACCTAAAGGCTATGAATGTGTGTTTTGCAAATGTAGCTCAAGGCTGCAGGAAGTCTGGAGTCTCAAGAGAATTGCCCATTTTTAACAAGGTTGAGGACTACTCACCACTTGAAATTGGGATGTGCGCAAGTACTCAGACGTCCTGAAACGGCACTTCATTTTTCACACTGTCTTTTTGTCCTTTAGGGCCGTTTCACCATTGCAGCCAAGCACCATATAACGATAGCAGAGATCTATGAGACGGAGCTGGTAGACATTGAAAAGGTATGATGAGAAAGGGACTTCCCCTTGCCCTAACAAATTGCTAGAGAGGTACGTCTTGCTCTGGCATGCCTTGCTCTGCTCCCTTAGTATTGCCTTCCCAGAGCAATGTAGATGTAGGAACCATGGTACATTTTGAAGAGTGTCCCTTGATTTTGCTGCTTCTAACATCCAGATTTCAACAAACTCCCCTAACACATGGGATGGATAAGTGCCATTCTGTCCTGCTTGTGAGCTCCCTGTGGAGCATCTGTCTGCCTACTGGAGGCGGAATATTTGGCTGTTTGCACCTTTGGTCTGAACCCAAATTCATGTGTCCAGTCTAATTTCTTATTCAGTTTCTCTTTGTATTTTCTTCCTTTCAAGGCAATAGCCCATTATGAGCAAGCTGCAGATTACTACAAAGGTGAAGAATCTAATAGGTAATTGAAGAACTCTGTTATTCTTGCACCCTTCTCTGCCCTAGGGTTGCTTTGGGTAGGTGCTTTGGAAAGGCTTCTGTTTTTAGGTTTGGGTTTTTAATTTAGCATTTAATTCTATGTAAAGCAGCCTAGGATGTTTCTTGATGGAGGGCAACGTATAAGTTGCCTAAATAAACATGCCCACCACAACCTATGTAAATGTCCCCCAAATTTTTCTTGTATTGAGGGGGCGGAAGGCAGAAGAGTCATTTGCAAGCAGAACTGATCACCTGATGGAGGGTTAAGGCACCTCCCTCCATCATGTTAGCACTAAGAGGTCAACACCTTAGTCAAAAAATGTGTTGCCCTTGAATGTACACCTTGCCAAGCAATAGAAGCATGGTAAAAGACCAGGGTTTGATTTCTCCCCTGCGGAAGGAACCTTTTTATTTTTAAAAAAACACCACCACCCTTGACCCTGGAGACACCTGTGATTTGATCTGGTTGTTCTCATCTGGTCCTTCCTGGGGTCATACAGCCTGGAGGGCAGATAGATGGGTGGGTTGCTACTCCTGTCCAGGTACCTGTAGCTCCTTTTTCTCTCTCTTCCTGCAGCTCTGCGAACAAGTGTTTGCTGAAAGTGGCTACCTACGCAGCTCAGCTGGAGCAGTACCAGAAAGCTATTGAGATCTACGAGCAGGTATGTTTATGACTCGTCTTCCCTCCCCCTCCCAGCACAAATCAAATTCTTAAGATAAAAGACGTACAACATATGAAAATGAAACCGTTGCCAGGACGGTGTCCCCCATGTTTTAGTTAAAATAGCACATCTAGACAATACAAATTCTGACCCAAGGAAAGTTGAATATTGATGTGTCCATACTTTCTGCATACCGTCAACTGAGTAAACATTGTTTTGCTGACTGTAGGGCAGGTATGTGTAAGATGTGCAGGTACTGAAGCCTTCCAACTTTGGAAAGCTTACTCAGCTCTTGATTATTGAGATTACAGGGATATCTCTCACCCTTCCAGGCATGTTGTGGCATGAGGGCTAGAAGCTTGGTTTTTCTCATAAATGAAAGCTAAACCTCCCAAGATACTGATACCTGGAGGAAAACCAGGAACTAGGAGAAATAAATAATGGTTCTAGTGAATAGCATACTTTACAACTACAAAATACCACCTTCCGCTGAGACTTAACCTTGGCTGAAAGACTTACCACTGCTTGTTCTGTATATACTATTATTCCCTCCCGCTGCCCCTCAAAAAGTTTGCAACTTCCAGAACAATTTTTCTTGCCAATCAGACAAACAACATCTCCTGGAGATCATGTTCAGCACAGTTAGCATCTTGTGTTGCCAGGTGTGGACTATTTGAACACTTCGCTGTTGATCATTTGCAGGGAGATTGCTAACAGTGGTTGTCTAATGGAAGCAGGGCTATTGTCTTAGCCTGCCTCTTCTCCCACCTGCACCCCTTTCTGTACTTGGACATCCCCACTTCATAGCTATAAGGTGAAGCAATTTACCTTGAAGAAAACCTGCAATTCTCACTCAAATTCTGTGGCATCTTCAGAATTCCTCAACTGAGAAAAAAGGAATCCAGCCACTAATTTATAGCATGCTTCCATAAAAAAAAGAAGAATGTGAAGGGAAGGCTCACTTTTTGAAACCTGCCCCTGTTCTTTCTCCCCTCCAATTCATTTGTGGTTAGGGATGAACATACTGTATCTACACAGAACTTATGTGGTCAGAAGGGCCATATTGCTGCTTTGTTCCTACTTAGAGAAGGGTGCCAGTAGGGCATAGGAGCAGTAGGAGTTGTGAGTATTTTTATTATGATTATTATTTCAATTTATATACCACCCTTTATCACAAGATCCCAGGGTGGTGTACAACATTAAAAACACATTGCAGAACATCAATGATAAAACATCGTAAAAAACATAATGACGGACGTCCTAATAGTGAAATATCCATTATAATAACAGTCCTCTCACCCATACTTTCACAGGCCATAGATTAGTTAATAGCCATAGGCCTGGGTAAAGAGGAATGCTTTTGCCTGGCACCTAAAGGCATGTAGTGGTGGCACCAGGCAATCCTTTCTGGGGAGAGCTTTCCACAGATGGGGAGCCACCACAGAAAAGACCCGCTCTCTTGTTGCTTTCCAAGGCAACCAAATGCCAGAGTCTCCAGGGGCCCCAAGTTAAACTTGCAGCTTTGCTTGAATTGCTCTTCTTTGGCATCTCCAGGTGGGCACCAGCGCCATGGACAGCCCTCTGCTGAAGTACAGCGCCAAGGAGTACTTCTTCAAGGCAGCGCTCTGCCACTTCTGCATTGACATGCTCAACGCCAAGGTCTGGGCAGCAGTTTTTTTGTCTTCTAAGCTTTGTGTCTGGTGTTGCCAAGATCCAGCATTCCAAGTGCCTGTCTAGGCTGTTTCCAAACTTTCCCCCCACAGACCACTTGAAAATTTATGAGGGTCTTGGTGGGGGCACTTAATTAATTTTCCGACTATTACAGCAATCATAATGTGCTGTGCTTAGATGCTGTGAGAGTTTTACTTGCATTTTTACTGCTGCTTTTATTTCTTACATATATTTCATCGTATTGCTATTTGAATTCAATAGAATTTGAACTGTAATGCAGTGACATGCAATATAAGAAATAAAAGAAGCAATAAAAGTACAATTCTAAATCAATATTTTTAATTCAATGGATGTGCTGGCTCCTGTTCTCAACCATAAGTTCAGACATACCTTGGTAGCCTGTAGTTTACTGGTGGTCTAAGAACCACAGTTTGGGAACACCTGCTTTATGTCTGGTTTCCTCTGGATGTGTTCAGAATGGGAAAAGGCAGAATATGGACAGTGGTAGGTGCAACTCTAGCTCTAGCTATATGTGATATAGCTATATCACAAACCTGAGTCAAAAGTCTACAAACAGGACTTCTTTTAGCGTGTTCTTAGGAGAAAGGCAGAAGTTGTGAATGTTGACAGCATGCAACACCAGTGTTTAACTTATGGGTCAAGGACTGAAGCCATATAGGAGCAAGGATCTGGGTTGATAATGTCTTTGTGTAATAGCGCTGTCATAGGGGGCTTTGCAGCATGTTGGAGGAAGGAGCTAGGGCTTCTGTAGTGTGTTGATTTCTAAAATTTGAGTAGCTCTACTAACAAGCCTTTGAATGACCAACAGCTAACTTCTTGCATTTCTCATCTTATCTTCTTTTTAAAAAATCAGTTGGCTATACAGAAATATGAAGAAATGTTCCCAGCTTTCTCGGACTCCAGAGAGTGCAAACTGGTTAAAGTGAGTAGTTTTTATCTAGCCCTCAAAGGCTGATGTAGATGTCTGTAGGAGCTGCTGTCCCGGTCACTGTCAGAAAGCATCCATTTGGCGGTTAAAATAAAGTTTTGTGAGTCTTGAAACTACACAAGGAAACCGTGGATTAGCTCAGTGGTTTCCATACCCCCCCAACAAAAAATGCCAAAAAACTTGCCAGACCACTTAATGATTTTTCACCCTGTTGTAGCAATTGTGCTAGATGCTAAATGATTTTAGATTGTATTTTCATTGCCTCTTTTATTTCTTCTAGTGTATTTTATGGTATACCAATCTGAATTCCATACAATATAAAATAATGTATACTAATAAATAATAAAATGCAATATGAGAACTGAAAGAAGCAATGAAAATATAATTAAAAATAAACTTGAATATATAATATGCTGCAGGGATGCGGGTGGCGCTGTGGGTAAAACCTCAGCGCCTAGGACTTGCCGATCGTCAGGTCGGCGGTTCGAATCCCCATGGCGGGGTGCGCTCCCGTTGCTCGGTCCCAGTGCCTGCCAACCTAACAGTTCGAAAGCACCCCGGGTGCAAGTAGATAAATAGGGACTGCTTACTAGCAGGAAGGTAAACGGCGTTTCCGTGTGCTGCGCTGGCTCGCCAGATGCAGCTTGTCACGCTGGCCACGTGACCCGGAAGTGTCTGTGGACAGCGCTGGCCCCCGGCCTCTTAAGTGAGATGGGCGCACAACCCTAGAGTCGGACACGACTGGCCCGTATGGGCAGGGGTACCTTTACCTTTATAATATGCTGCACCAGCTTGCAGTCCCTGGCGGTCTGTGGACCACAGTTTGGGAACTCCAGCTTCGGATTACTTAAACTTTATGATTGAATTTGTGGAGCTCTTCAGTGTTCTTGTACAAAGGATAAGATGCCAGTGAGCAAGAAATGAGAGGCTTTCTGTGCAGTCAGCAAGGATGGATGAACAAAAGGTTTGTGGTTGGGATGTCGATGAGGCACACAGGTGCTCCTTAGTATGAAGATCAAACAAACCAAAAAGACTGGAGATGCAAAGCTATTCAGATCTTGTAACATGCTTTTTTGTCCCATCCCATCACTCGTTTAAAATAGGATCCGTCCTAGATTGCATGATTACATACACTTTTGTTATCAGAATAACATTCAGCCTGTCAAGAATCCATACCCAAAGCATCTTTTTAAAAAAATCTTCTGTTCGTTGTTAGGGCACAATGGGACACTGATTCACCATCTTGTTGTAATTGGGAACTAATCCATAAGTTCACCAATATTCTGTCTCCCTCACAGAAATTGCTGGATGCTCATGAAGAACAGAACATTGACAGCTACACCGAATCGGTAAGGCTGTGTTTTCCTCAAGGGCCTAGTGTGAACATGGGAGGGTTGCTGTGACACCTAGTTTCCATTAACCTAGAATCTAAAGATGGGGAACATCTGGCCTTTCAGTCAGGTTGAGCTACAACTCCTATCAGCCCCAGCGAGCATGGCTGGGTATGATGGGAGTTGTAGTTCAGCAGCCCCCAGAGGGCTACAGGTTCCCCACCCCTGCTATAATCTGACAGGTTAGCCTGGTGGGAAAGCTTTAGTTTCTTCTGTAAGTTTGACTCACATTCTCCTGGGCTGCCAGCTTTTTACCTTCTCTGTGTGCCTGGGAGACACACTGCCTTCAGACCTCAGGTGGTAAGAATAGATTGGTTTTTATTTAGAGCAGCCAGCTCTAAAGTGGGGCAGGCAGGCAACGATCTGCACCAGAACACAGGTGGTACGTGGGGATCAGCAGTTAGATGCCTCTGGGCCAGATTTAGTCCCCCTGAGTGCCAGCCTGGCGGAAAAGGAGGTGTGGGGGAAAATAGCATCTCTGGCGGCAGATGCTAACAGCCACTTCTGGGGTGGTGATAGCATTAGTATCTGTGGAAAGGAGGACGAGTGCTCCTGCAAAGCCAGCTGCTGACATGTATTTCATACACTTAAAATCACATGTATACTTTCAAAGCTAAAATCCTAGATTCAGAGACTCGTTTGTATATCCAAGGAAAGGCATTTTTAAGCATTCAGATCAAGCAGATCTAGCATGACAGGAAGGCAGGTTGATTTTTAATGACTCGGACTCCAAATATCCGAAAGGTCAACTCAACCTTTACAGGTTCTTAGGTTTTAAGATCAACGGAGGGCCCTCTTGGTGGTCCCAACATCCTCAAAGGTTTTGGTAGTAAAAGCCCTGGAAAGGACATTCCTTGTGGCATCGCCTAGGTTGTGAACTCCCCCTCCCCCAAGAAGTGCACCTGGTACCTTCATTATATAATTTCTGTCATATGCTGAAGACAACACCTCTTTACTTTGACTTCGCCCATGACTGAGATACCTATTTTTAGGACAAGCCCCCCATCGGTTGGCTAATGTTTTAAGCTGATTTTAATATTGTATTTTAAATATATTTATTAATTATATTTAAGCAGCAACTATTATTATTATTATTATTATTATTATTATTATTATTATTATTTATTTCTTCCTAGGGCAGCTTACAGCATTAAAAACAATTTAAAACAACTTACAATGTATATGCTGCCTAACCACAATTGTCTCTAAGCAGCGTACAAGAAATACAATACCGGAAATTTTAAAAATTGTTAAAACTAACCCACCTCAGGACCTTACGGTGAAGTGTGGGTAAGAAAATTGAGATAACAATAGTAATGGCAGCAAAGAAGCTGTATAGAATATTGCCAGTGGTTCCATATGTGAATGTGGTTTCATAGGCAGGAGCTCACCATGTTAGTTGGTTAATACAGGCACAGTTTACTGCATCTCTGTTCTTTCCTGCCCCCCGTCAGGTGAAGGAGTACGACTCCATCTCTCGCTTGGACCAGTGGCTCACCACCATGCTCCTGCGCATCAAGAAAACCATACAGGGCGAAGAGGAGGACCTACGCTAAGCCACTGCCCCCCAACCCTCTGCCCCTCATCTGCAGAACTCTGCGTGGATCGGCTCTGGGGGAGGAGAGGGGTTTTGGCCCAAAGGAACTGGACTTGAATGGCAAATGGTTTATTACTGCTCCCTTTCTCATCACCTCTCTCCTTGCCGCCGCCTCTTAGTACTGCAGAAAACAGGACCAGGGAGTGTGTCGTCTGTGGACTGACTCCAGCTGGAGAGAGACATGAAGGCTGTAACATGAAGTTCTCATTTCCGTTGCCTCGCTGCCCCTCCCCAGAATCTGAGCGCGTTGCTTTCTGAGCCAGCATTTTACCTTCTTCCGACGGCTTTAAAATCATTTGTATGGCTTAACGCTTGAAAGTCTCTCTAGTGGGTTCAGATGATGGCACCAGCTTCCTTCCTCTCTCCCAGAAGAGAGCTTGTTGGAAGCTCGCCCTGGGGTGGAAAGGAGCCTCTTCTGTACAGCAGAGGACATGCCCCCGTCCTCGTGGCCTCATCCCGTTACGCACCTCAAACCACATCTTCCAGAGCAGTTCCAGCCCCCCTCCCCCAGGCAGCGATTGGATGGCAGCCCCTTTCTCCCCTTTCCTTGTATCAAATACTTGTCCTATCAAAAAGGGTAGCATTGCTTTCTAATTCTAATGATTGACATGAAGCTGCCTGAGCTGGGTCTTAAGTGGAGGCTGGCACACATACCCCCATTTCAACTCCTGGCAGACATACGAGAACCAGAAATTCCAGATACTTTACGTGGTGTGTATGCTAACTCTTCTTTTCCAGGCTGCCAGAAGCATTTCTCGCAGCCCAGCTTACCATCTTGAATTCAGGTAGGAAAGAGTGACCCTTGCTCTTTCCCTTGCCCTTAGAAGTTTGGTGCCAGTCACCCATACAACATTACACGAGTATGGGGTCGTAATGCATATCCATTTGCCGGTCACTAGGGGATATAGGGTGTTCGTTCTCCTGTTGCCTGCGTAGCAAGAGGCAGACAATTCCTGAGCCATGCTGCAGGTAGCCAAAAACCTATTTAATGCTAGTAATTCTGTGTGTGTGTGTGTGCGCAGGCTGTCTTGATAGCTACCATCTCTTGCATGGTTTTCCTTCAGGCTTAGTCTGAAGGGAGCAATTCCTCTGCCAAGTATTCTGTGTTCTGTATTCATTGTCCTAAAGCTTCCCTCCCACCTCTGGATTTCCTCTTGTGTTGGCTTTAAAACAAAAAAACAAACAAAAAACACCTAACTTTTATCATGTAGTTGAGACAAAAGGGTTGATAGCTTCATGAGGGATTCTCATGTTTTTATTATTCAAGGGGGCGGGGAGGGTGAAATTAAGTGCTGCTGCATGTTTTACAATGTCCACCAGCAAGTAACTCTGATTATACAAAAAATAACTTGCACACAGCAAACAACGAGTAATAAAAATCTGCATGGGTGGAAAACCAAACTATAGTAATCCTTGTCTAACAATAGCCTCTCTAGCTAAAGTTCCTGCTGCTGCTCTTAAGTGACGTGCATGTTTCAGGCCTAGGCTCTCCACGCTGTTTGTTCCCATCAGTGTTCCAGGACTAATTCTGCCACCTTTCCCGTCAACCCTTCTAAGTTGTGATTTCTATTTCTGAGCACTGGCTGTGATTCTGTCTATAAAAAACACAATTACCTGCTTGAATCTGGCTGTGCATATGTGTGTTCAGTCTTCAGACTTTTTTCCTGTGATGGATTTGGAACCGGAGCAGCTATGTTTGGGTGAACTTGACCTGCAGCTTCTCACCCTGTTTTGAGCAGTGCTGCTTTGCAGGTTTGAGTGTGGTGTGTATTCTGCACTTTTAAAAGATGGGGGAGGGGGAGACATAGTGCCCGTAAAAGCAGAGTTGTGCTAATTTGTGTTAGCTTGCATAATTCTGCCTTTTTTTAATGCAGTACAGTGAACCTTACTAACTAGTATTTCCCCTGCACTGTCCCTAAAAGTTCTTTAGACTTGTCAACATGCATCAAAGTTTATCTTCGATCCGAACTTGTTTTTAAAAAGCAAATCCCATTCTGAATGCTGCAAGTACCACCCCCCCACCCCCGACAGCATGGGCAGAATATACCTGACCCTCAGCTTAATTTGGAGGTTTATCATTCAGGTACCTGCCTACCTCATGTTGTCAGTGGCAATCACTTTATAGAGGCAGAGTTTTCTAGGGTGGCTCTTGTCTCTTATGCCAAAGCAAAAGCAATTCTTCATTAGTCCAGAGTAGAAATCAGTGGTTCAGAACTAGTGTGTCATCTGAAGCTAACTATAAAAGGTACCGTACATCCTTTTCTGAGACCTAGATTTGGCTGGGCTTCATCCAACTTTTTGTGAGTTCAACATTCCTGTTGCTCAGCCTAAACTGTTACTTGGGGCACCAGGTGTGCTTTGAAAATTTAGCTACCTTTGCCCATGCCATTTGATACAGTACAAAAACACAAAACATAGTTTTAGAATTATTATTTTATTATTATACCCCACTCATCTGGGTGGGTTGCCCCAGCCACTCCAGGTGACTTCCAGCATATATAAAAACACTAAAACCTTAAACCGCTTCCCTATACAGGGCTGCCCTTAGATGTTTCCCAAATGTTATATAATTACTCATCTCCTTAACATTTGATGGGAGGGCATTCCACAGGGTAGGCACCACCACCGAGAAGGTCCTCTGCCTCGTTCCCTGTAGCTTTACTTCTCACAGTGTGGGAACTGCCAGAAGGCGCTCGCGGCTGGACCTCAGTGTCAGGGCTAAACAATGGGAGTGGAGATGCTCCTTCAGGTATACAGGGCTGAGGCCTTTTCGGCCTTTAAAGGTCAGCACCATCAAATTTAATTGTGCTTGAAAATGTACTGGGAGCCAGTGTAGGTCTTTCAGGACTGGTGTTATATGGTCTCGGCGGCTGCTCCCAGGCACCAGTCTAGCTGCCACATTCTGGATTAATTGTAGTTTCTGAGTCACATTCAAAGGTAGCCCCACGTAGAGCGCATTGCAGTAGTCCAAGCGGGTGATAACCAGTGCATGTATCACTCTGGCGAGACAGCAGGCAGGTAGGGTCTCAGCCAGCGTACCAGATAGAGCTGGTAGAAAACCTCACATGAAGCACATTTGCTTATGGCAGCGTTTGGGAACCTCTGGCCCTCCAGATGATACTGGACTATGTGGGAGATGGGACTGAGGGTTAAATCTGAAGGTTAAATTTTAACCACCTATCCTATGCAACTAAGGTCTTTTAGGAAAGTAAAACATTTAAATGTTTTTGCAGTTTACTAAAGCTTAGGAATTAGGCAGTTGTGCTTTTTAATTCCTTTTTATTTATGCTCTGCTGACCTCCCCCTCTTCACCCCTGTTGCAGAGAAGGAACCACACTTTTTCTTTAGTAAGAGAAACAAACAAAAAGGTTTACTTACATTTCAGTGCTGACAGCAAATACAACAAAGTAGTATGCAGGAAAAAATACCTCAAAGTTACTAGAAAGTTTAAGAACTCTTGTGTGCCAGCCCTGTGCTTGTTTAGCAAAACATGCATTTGTGATTTGCCTGCCAACCCTCACCAACATCCCTGATCACTGACCATGCTGGCTGGAACTCAAGGGAGTTGGAACCAGTAAGACCTGGAATGCAAGCACAGGTACCCAAACCCTCACTTAGGGAGTTGATTTGATCTGCTTTCCACTGGAGATGGTGAAGCCTCTAGGTCCATAACTTGTGCAGTAGATTGCAGCAAATCATCTCATTCTCTCCTAAGTGATGCAACGTCCCATGATCACTTGGGCTAGAGTTTAGTTATATTTTCATGTTACTGCTGTTATGCTGCCATCCCACTTGTGTACAATACCAGCTGGGTAATGAGACTGGAAGCCCTGTGTGTGTGTGTGTGTGTGTGTGTGTGTGTGTAAAATTTTACAAAGCCCCATATTTTCTAGGGCTCTGGCAATGAGCTTAAACTATACATAGTATGACTTGCTTAACTGGCTTTTTGAGGGAAATACAATGCAAAAATAATGCATTGTAAAGATCCAAGGTGCCGTTTTCAGTAGCCTGACGAAAGAATGCCGTTCTTCCAAGTGTTAAGTCTTTAATAAACCTGACAAATTAATAGAAGGAATGGACCATCTCTTTAAATATTGGGGATATTTCTGGGAATGGGGAATATTGCAACAAGGAGCACTTGTAACACATCAAACTGGAGCGTGTCCAGAGGAGGGCAACCAAAATGGTCAAAGGCCTGGAAACGATGTCTTATGAGGAACGGCTAAGGGAGCTGGGCATGTTTAGCCTGGAGAAGAGGAGGTTAAGGGGTGATATGATAGCCAGGTTCAAATATATAAAAGGATGTCATATAGAGGAGGGAGAAAGGTTGTTTTCTGCTGCTCCAGAGAAGCGGACACGGAGCAATGGATCCAAACTACAAGAAAGAAGATTCCACCTAAACATTAGGAAGAACTTCCTGACAGTAAGAGCTGTTGGACAGTGGAATTTGCTGCCAAGGAGTGTGGTGGAGTCTCCTTCTTTGGAGGTCTTTAAGCAGAGGCTTGACAACCATATGTCAGGAGTGCTCTGATGGTGTTTCCTGCTTGGCAGGGGGTTGGACTCGATGGCCCTTGTGGTCTATTCCAACTCTATGAGTCTATGATCACAACATAAAATCACGGGGGTGGGGGTCGGGGGGAGAGGAAAGAAAGAAAGAAAGAAAGAAAGAAAGAAAGAAAGAAAGAAAGAAAGAAAGAAAGAAAGAAACGAGCCCCAGACCTGGCAATACTGTAGGTTTAAAGGACATTCATTTCAGCTGACTGGCATTGTCTGTGGATTTTATATTTTGGAAGAAAAGCCACAAAAATATTGTGCCCCGTCTCTATGCATTTAAAGCAGTATCATACCACTTTAAACAGTTGTGGCTTTCCTCCAAAATGATCCTAGGCACTGTTGTTTGTGCCTAGAGTAGCTCTGAACCTCCTATTCCCCTCAGGCGTCTACAATTCGAACAGTGGTTTAACAATCTCTCTACTCAGGGAATTGTAGCTCTGGGGAGGCAATAGGGGTCTCATGCCAGCTCTCAGCACGCTTCACCAATGAGTTTCCAGGAAGTGGTGACACTATACTGCTTTCAATGTATAGTGGAGATGGGGCTTCAGAAGAAGAAAACTGCCCTCTAATGGACGATGAGAAGAAAAACAAAAAAGAGATTGTGTGAAGTGTATGGATCAATACGCAATTGGTGATAGCTTTGCATTTGTTAATCGTAGAAACTCACAGAAAGGGTCTCCTTTTCATGCAGTGCTAAGAAGAGGAATGCTAGTGCTTACGGTCAAGGCCTGGTGCGCATGGAAGCGCGTTACTTTCCTGCTATGTGTTTGTCACCTGTTCAAAAACTACCATAGATAAGCATTTGGAGCGAATCATTAAGAGAGATGTAATTTCCAATCTCTGGTGTTTTCTGGTGCCCCCTGGGCCTGGACATTCCCCCTGTGGCCCCACTATTAAACTAGTATTAAACCTTTTGTTGTGTGAACCGCCCTGAGACCTCCAGGTATAAGGGCGGTATATAACTTCAATAAATAATAATCATTAAATCTTCAATACAGACATGAAGCAATTGTGCCAATTAAACATTTGCAGATTACAGCCCTAGCAATAACCCCATGAATGTCCGGCTGTGTAAATTCCCAAAGGGTCATCTAATCCAACCCTCTGCAACCCATTTCATTTTAAATATATTTATTGGTTATCACATATTTTTGTTTTCTCTCATTTGGGGCGTGGTGACAAGCACCAAAAATTCTTTATAATCTGTTAAAGCTATGCTTGGTGGAGTCACCTCTTTCCCTTGCCTTTGATTTAATTTTTAAAAGCTGTATATTATTATTTTAAAATGCCACCCTTAAACGTCGTCCCCGCAAGTGGCAGACTGCGACGTCCACACGTGTCGGCGATGGGGATATGACAGTATTGAGTTTTGCGTTTTTATGTTGCAAACCGCCCTGTGATGGTGCTAATAATAATAATAATAATGGCGCCGGACAACGGGAAGGAGCCTAAAGAGGCCATCTTGGAATCGGGCGTGCGTCACACGTCCGCGACGCCACCTTCGGAAGGCCCCCTACCCCTTTTTACCTCCGGCCCGATGCTGGCTCTCCAATAATGGTGGGGAAGGAAGGACCGGGCTGCCCGTAGCGGTGCCTGAGCCGGAATGGATCCCTCCCGGGAATGCCCGTTTTCGGAGGACAGCTTCACCCGCTTCTCCTCCCAGAGCAACATCTACGGGCTGGCGGCGCTGCCCGGGGCGGCCCGCGGGGGCGGGAGGGGCCCGGGGCAGGAGGATTTCCCCAGGGGGGCGGGGCTGGGGCAGGAGGAGGTGGGGGTCTCCGAGGGGCCAGGGCAGACCTTGGGGGTCTCCAAGGCTCCGTGGCGCCCCGAAAGTGGGCCTGGGTCGGGCCTGGGGGTCCCTGTGCCCCCCGGGGGGTGCGGGGACGGGCCTGGGGGGCTCCTGGCTGCCACCCTGAAGGGGAAAGTGATTTATTTCCGCTACCAAGACCTGAGGCAGAAGCTGCGCCCGGTGGCCAGGGAGCTGCAGTTCACCTATATCCCAGGTAAGGGGGCAGGTGGGCTCAGTGGGCGGAGGGGGGCAGTCTATGGGTTGGAATGAGGGACCGGGT